TTGAGTTTTAATTCAAAACAAAGATTTCAAATTTCCAAGCGCTGGTTTATTGATAAATTCGCGTAGTAAGTCACAGCAAAATGCAACATAAGCATTACCCGTTGACACACATTCCATTATCGCTGACCAAGCAATTCAACATTGTAAGCAAAACAGCCTAGTGCTATGCCCATGCCCATGTACAGCATTTTCATATCTCTATAGTGTATTGCCCGCCGCATGGAGCGACGCCGCCACTGTACAAGCAGAATACTTCGGCGACACGTCATGAACTGCGTTTTGATTGGTTGCTTTGCAAATTTGGAATGCTGAATCACAAAGCACTGGAAAAGAGGTGGAGCAATGAAAGTGGTTTAACAAATAATTTGTGTATAAATAGCATTAAGTTTAATCAATAAAATTAGAATATGAACGACAAGTTTTGACTTTTATCATTTCTCCAACTTAGACAACTGCAAAGTTGCCTAGACAAAGATTTCGGCAGCCTCACGGCCGCCTATCGAACGGCACAACCTTCTCTGCCTAACAAGAAGAGGGCTATTAATAAAAACGATAGAATATAGGACCTCCACATGCCGATTCTGCCAAATACATATTCATTTTTCACATTGTTGATCGCCTCCACATGGCGATCATGCCAAAATATACTTTAAATCGTTAACACATGGCGTGGTGAAAGTCAATTTTTAGCGCCATCCTGATAGCCATCACGGGCTACGAAGTCGGTAAGCCGAAATCAATAACAACAAAGACTCGACTTCATAGCACTTTTTATAAACCTAGTACTTGTGGCCATGTTCACGGTATTAGAAAAGTATTTCAACAGACGACTACGTCGGATGAGAATTGAAGCACAACGCATATAAACGCGGCCAATATTAATTTATCTATATAGAAAACCCCATGTACAGCATTTTCATATCTTTATAGTGTATTGCCGGCCGCATGGAGCGACGCCGCCTCTGCACAAACAGAATATTTCGGCGACACGTCATGCACTGCGTTTTGATTGGTTGCTTTGCAAATTTGGAATGCTGAATCATAAAGCACTGGAAAAGAGGCGGAGCTACGAAAGTGGCTGGGGAAATAATGTGTATAAATAGTATCAAGTTTGATCAATAAAATTAGAATATGAATGACAAGCTTTGACTTTCATCATTTCTCCAAATTCGGCAACTGCAAAGTTGCCTAGACAAAGATTTCGGCAGCCTCACGGCCGCCTATCGAACGGCAGAACCTTCTCTGCCTAACAAAGAAGAATGCTATTAATAACAACCATAGAATATAGGCCTCCACATTCAGTTTGAAAGATGCACATTTTTATAAACACAGTAGAAATCTTAGGTTGGGGGTAATTCAATAACTCCTCGTTGCAACACTCTGCTGGTATGATCCCTGAACAAGATATCTCAGAGTTGAGAAAACCTTTAAAATATTCGGTATGGATGGCGTTTTTTACGTGGGTGCAACTCGTTCTCTACTTCTGTTAGAACATATGTAACAGCTTCTTTCGAAAGTTTCTCTGAAATATAAGGAATTGTTTTTCATAATTAACAAATAAAACTCATTCCTGTTTCTTATCGAGTTCTCCAAAGGATTTGAAGCATCTCTCAATTGCCTTCTTACTGTATCCTCTATGCGAGTTTAATCAAATTTAATTTATATAAAACGCATTTGGGGTTGAAGGAAACATGTTTTATCTTAACTTTGTATGGCTTATAGAGATTTTCGCGACTTTCAAGTTCAAAATGTTCGCTTTGAAAATATATTATTGGTGCCAGGTAATAAGATCAACGGAAATAATGTCAATTGACGTTATTTCACACCAGCGAAATAAAATTTATTGACATTATTGCTCTTTCAAACATTAAATTTACTTAGCTTCGCGGCGGCGACCACACCACGTCACGCTACGCCGCGGTCCCCCCCTTCCCCTATCCCACCGTGCTGTTACACAGGTAGATTTATTTTTTTGTATACGCTGAAATAAAATTTGTATATATTTTAGGGCTTATATTCAATAATACTCTCTATAATATAATAATAATATCCCAACGGTTTTTACCCTCCATTCCCGCCCATCC